CAGCTGCAAAGAAACATGGGAGTTGTCGGACAGTTGAGGATCTAGAGTTTGGCCATCCCTGGCACTAGATGGAAGCCAAAAAAAACATCTTGCGCCATGCTCCTCTGTATTTAAGTTCTGCCACAGGCTAGCATAATAGATTATATCAAAAAGAAAGGGTAATTTAATTGTAAAAAGAACCACATCCCCTGTAAATATTTTTTTTATATATTTTGGAAATTAATACTGCTGTATGGGCAAGTCACCAGAGAAAAATGTGATTAAAATGTGACTTATTCATTTCCTCCCCAGGTTTTTTTTTATTTTTATTTTTTTTGAATTTCCGCACCATATGAACATGGGTTGTATTTGACCCTGGGCAAAAGGTTGTCAGTCAGCCCCTATGCACTGTGACTATTTTTGTTCATCATAAATATTCCTTTATTAAGTTCTCCCTTTGTGTAGTAAAAAATGATGTTACCTGCAAAGACGCCACAAAGTAATTGAGCCGCTTTAAGAAATTTTCATGCATCCAGACTCTTGAAAGCAAGAGCAGTATGGATTTGGTATAATATGTCTAAACAGCAAGAAAAAAATGGATGTGTTTATTTTTATGCAAATAAGATTTTTTTTATTATTATTTTAATCTTAAATAAACAGAAAGCACCAACAAATAATAGATAGTAAAAGTATTTAATTTTAACCAAAATAATGCATATTAAAATTATAGTGTATAAAGATTATACATGTAAAGAAGACGAAACATAACACAATCACTACAGTTGTGTAGACAGCTCAAATAAAAGCACCCAATGCTACCTCTAAGAGTTAAAATATATACTTGCTGAACTTGAAAACAAATCTCAGGTATCAGCACAAGACATAAAATGCTCTATGGACAGAACAGTTACAGTTTAAATGTGCTTAAATCCCACAGAACTGCAAGAAAGTATCACTCGTTAAAGCTCAGTGGCAAACCTTGATAGCAAAAACAACATACCTCCAAAAAACAAACAAACAAAAAAAAAAACAGACGTTTCAATTCCATAACACTATAAACAATTTATTAAAGCACAAGTCAGATACTAAAAAGTGAATTCTTCTAAAATGTGAACACCTATTGCAAAGTCTCACTACTTTATCAAATCATTGCTACAATAAAGAGGAAACAAATCCGATCTTTAAGTTTTGCGGTTTGTTTTCTGTATGTTTTAATATATTATTTATATAATCTATTAAAAGTAATGGTCAGCTCCCGGCTGGAGCAAACAATTTGTATTTCATTGATATATTATTATTTGTCAGGAGTCTGAATGTTCTTTCAAGTCAATGTATCATATAAGAACATTGCACGTAAGGACAAAAAAATAAAGGAGCTTTGGTTTTCATATGTACGTTATGTACAATGTCAACGCAAAGTTAATAAATGCATGTTTAACCAGAGCAAGTCCCAAATAATGCAGTATATTTTATACAGTATACCAATTTCTATACTAATTTTAAACAAATAAATGATGGTCCTTGATATTTTCTGAGAGAATGACACAGGGAAATGTGAGCTGTGTTACTGTAATGATTGACATTACATACAGAGTGGCTAACAGAGGACATGCTATTTATTTATAAGCATATATATTTTGTTTAGCGTTTTTGTTCCAACTCTGCCACCTAGTGGCTATTTTCATAACACTTGGTTTTGTTGTGTGTGTGTTTTAACTCGAACATGATTAAATATATCAAATGTAACAACGCTATTCCATGAATTAATGAATAATTTTTTTTAAAGAAAATTTATTTTTATATACACTTAATGTCATAACACTCCATACAAAACTGACTTCCTCTTTCCGAACAAGCGTCTATGATTTTCACTGTATGACAGTCAGTGCTATCAAAAGTTTAATTTGGCATAGAAAGGCGATAAATTAAAAGTGCCAAACAGCAGGGAACATGACTGGCTGGGAAGCTTTTCTCTCCTGGGATCCATTTTTTATTCATAGAATGTTATTCACTATGCATGGAAAGTGTGTATTTCAATGCACAGCTAAATAACAAACAGAATGGTATATGCATAAAACAGAATGGGTCATTGATTCTGAATGGATAAAACATAGGACAAGCAAATGTAGAACCACAGAAGAATAAAGTATTTTCCTTTGTTTCTCTCATATTATCGTTCATTCTGACAACTGTTCATTCTCATGTAAAAAGATATCCTGCTTAATTTGTATCTAGACTACACTATATATAGCAAGAGTATGTATATTATTGAATAATTCTGCATTAATAATGAAATCCACAAGGCTGAGGTTGTTTACAAGTAAATTCAGTGTTTTGAAAGATTGTAGTATTGCATTTCTTCTATTCAAACCTTAAAGGTTTAGATATTTATTTACTAAACAGTGAGCTGTACTGAGTCAGACACTATTGGCTCACAACAACATATTAACCGAAGAGATGAGTTGTGAAAATAATGAAAGTTTCTGAAAATGGTCAATAAGCTCACCCTAACTTACTGCTTAGTGAATAAACCATCTAAAGTCAGTGGATCCAGGTGTAAATAATTCATAGAGTCTCATCGCATTGTTTTGAGTAGTTCTTGTAATAGCTTATCTCGGGAGGCTGTGGTTGTCCTAGGTGTACGAATAGAATGTATGTTTCACTGAGCACAGATTTCAAAATGAAAGTTTTCAGGCATCACACCTCCAGCTGAACTGCATATATTTAGAAGAATGTGCAAATTATGTTCTAGGTGAGCTATTGGTCTATTCAAGGAATTTGTTTTTACTCTCAACTGAGTATAAATGTATTAGGCAGTCTGACACTATTGGATGTACTTGAAAACATAACATTGCAGAGGTGTCAAGATTTTTTTTATTTTGCTTCCTGAAATAGGTTTGATTGAACAGAGAGTGAAATTTCAGTAAATTGTTAAAGTTTGAACAATTGCTATAGTATGTATGATCTTTGGAATGGAGCAAAATCTGAAAAAAATGTAGTTTGAATATAATTTTTTTTTGTATGTTTAAATAAATCTCTGCATAAAATTGTTTCTGTGATAAATCACCTAGTCACCGTTCGCATCCAAGTTGTTTTCCTTTGTTTCCCCCAAAAGACAAGTCTTACTGCCACCCACCAAGAGCGCCCCTACCTCTGGCCTTAACCGGAGTCCAGAAAGCCACAATGACTATAGTGGGACTTATCCACAACTCCTCTGGAATTCTGGTCTGACCATGACTAGCCCCATCTCCCGGTCAACTCCCCCCCACCCCCAATTTTTCCCCAATTCCCGAACAGCTAGAAGAGCACTTTTTGGAGGGAAGATGCCCTGAACTATGTGGAAAAATCCCTCCCTGAAAGTCCCCTATTTATCCACATGGACTCCCAACATTGACTTCCCAAAGCCCCATTTATCCTGAAATTCTTTTGGGCATGGACTCTGTTAGCGTCCAGTCAAAACTTTACCCTGGTGGTGATTGGTCAATTGTTAATGGGTCAGGGGCTATTTTGCCAACATGGACGCTTGGATCAGTTCCTGTTGATTTTATTATGTTTTTGGGTTGTGCTCTCTGTATCCAGGAGATAATTAGTTTAGCGAGCAGCAATTCCATTATCTCCCAGACACAGAGGCACCAGGGATTATTTGCTATTGAATAGGGTCCCCATGCTGGGGGTCAGTGTATAAATGACTGTGCTGTACTGAATAAAATCCTATCTACTCCCAAAATTAAGTTTTGGCTAATGTATGGGGGGGAAAGCTATGCTAGCTATTAACACTAATTACACTGGAAGGACTATAACAAGCAAATCCTTAGCGGTGATCCTGCAGTGATCAACCACAGTTGCTATATTCTACATTGATGTGTCAGTTAAATATCCCCTATTTTTTTTTTAAATAAATGCTATACTAACTTTATAAACAAAAAATAGTAGTGTAGGTATTAATTTGTACATGACCGAAGTATAGCCACTTTTTCTACAAAGCATTCAATAATGTGAGACTTAAAATTCTCAAAGTCTGGACCATCAACTACCTAGTAACATTCTAGCCACACGAAGAATATGTTTTAGACGTCTTCTTGTACGAATGAAGGAATGAAAGAGATATTTATTCCCAATTCATGTCAAGTGGTGCAACTGCACCTAATTGACATCTGACTGTCACAAAGTTACCTGCTGTCATTAGCATAACTACTTCCTAGCTTAAACCATTATACATGATAATCTTACAGAATAAAATTAGAAAAATATAAAAAAAGTTGGACGCAGTTTGGTAATATCATATACAAAATATTTGCATCTGATATTGGTGAATACGAATCCAAGTAACAAACAGTGCAACTGAAAAAAATGTCTACCAATATATTTTTAGATTCTTAACTTTTTTTTTTTTAGCAATTCCATGAGCTCAGTGAATTCATCATTTTTCATGCTCTACAGTCTTGTTCCCAACACAGTTTTGTGACAGCTTCAATATATCACTTCCAAAATCTATATGTCAAGGATATTAATGTAAGAGCAAAATGATGCTAAGTTCAACAGGAGAACCCAAATTTGACAGCTGTACAACTATCCAAAATCAGGAAGGATTAGAAAAGTCTCAGTAGAAAAATCAAAGAATGGCATACAAGACAAGGTTGATTGACTATGTGCACAAAGATCCCTTTCCTATGGATATTTTGCAATCTATTAATATGACATTATTTTAGCTCCTATACAATATGCCCAGGCATGCTGGTAAATTACTAAACCTTTTGCACAAGGTATCTATCTAATGTAAATATCAATATTGCTGAGAGAAGTCTTAAAATACACGTTTTAATCCTTTTAGGATGAATAACAGCTAAGGATTGTCAGAGTAATGTTAGTACATTTGCTTAGCCTTGGTCCTGATGGAGTTTATGTAATAATTACTCTTATTATAAGCTGACTATTATTATATTACTAATAGTGATGTCCCGAATGGTTCGCCGAACGGTTCACCGCGGACGGCAAACATATGACCCTGTACCTCACAGTCAGCAGACACATTCCAGCTAATCAGCAGCAGACCCTCCCTCCCAGACCCTCCCACCTCCTGGACAGCTCACTAAGAATGCAGCTTCAAAATGGATGCTGTCCAGGAGGTGGGAGGGTCTGGGAGGGAGGGTCTGCTGCTGATTGGCTGGAATGTGTCTGCTGACTGTGAGGTACAGGGTCATATGTTTGCCATTCGTGGCGAGCCGTTTGGCGAACCGTTCAGAACATCGCTAATTACTAATTATTACTATATTATTATTAATCTTATTTAACATAAATGAGTATTATAAACATGTTACAGGAGGGAATAGGCTAGATTAGAAGAATATGAAGTATCATGAGAAATAATAGCTTACATGGGAAGTGTGGAATGAAAGAGAGGAGGTAAGAGTTTAGATGAGTTTAAATGAGAGGCACTTGGGCAGAGGGGAATTAGGGTTAGGGACGGGGTTGAGATATTGGGGCAGATTAATAAAAGTGATTGCAGAATAAAATGCCTTTTTAGACACAATAAATCTGGGTTTGTTTTCTCATAATGGGGGAATCAGTGGCAAAGTAAAAAAGATAATACAAATTAAGTATTGTGAAAGAGAGAAGATATGGATGCAGAGTTAAGTAGGGATGTATATACTTAAATAAGAAAAAATAAAATGATACATAGAAGCCAGTGTAATATTTATTTATTTGCAGCAACACAATAACATTTGTGGACCATAAACGTAGATTTAGAAAGGATGACATCGCTGACCTAACTTGTATAATGTTTCAATGCTCAAATCCAGAGCTCTCCCTTTCAAGATTTTGGTGAATTTGGTAAGATTAAATTTTTCTAAATCACATATGCTCAACATTAATGTGGCAAAAACTTCTGCCGACCACAAACTTTTTGGGGAAATGGCTTTAGGCAGATTTTTTAATGATAAAGAATGTGGAAAAAAATTTGCTACCTAACCAACCACTGTTCGGTCTTTAGCAGGACCCAAGAGACAGCATCTAAACTCCTCACTTGCTGGTACTGTACGAGAATATTTCTGCAAATAATAAACATTGAGCAACTGGGACATTGCTGGAAGTGCGGGGAAGAGGTGGGCACTATCCTCTACATATGGTTGGAGTGCAGATGAACTCAGCCACACTGGAAAAGGATTTCCGGTATGATGGACATATTTTTAGACACCTTGCCCCCCTTCAAGCCAGCCCTAATGCTCCTGCACGAAACTAGAAACTCTAGGACTAAATATAAAAAGTATCTCTCCATACATATTTTGAACAGGGCCAAGCAAATTATACCCCAATTCTGGACCCAATCAGTGATTTCCTCAATGAAGGTCTTGTTTACACAAATGGAAGATGCTCAGAGCAGTGGCATACACACAACCCATGGGGCCCCGGTGCGAAACTGATCCACGGGGCCCCCCTCTAGCTTCCACCCCCATGACAGACACACACATACATACAGGGATACTCACAGACAGACAGACAGATACATACAGACGCATACATACACACACCACACATGCATACAAAGACACATACATACAAACAGACAGGCATACATACATACAGACACACACACATACATACAGACAGACATATACACACACATGACAAACATACATACAAAGACACATACATACAAACAGACAGACGGGCACACATACATACAGACAGACACACACACTTACACACAGACACATACACACTTACAGACAGACAGACACACACAAGACACATACATACATAAAACAGAGAGAAACACATACATACATACATACATACATACATAAATACAGACAGATAGACACACATATACATACAGACACACACATACGTACACACAGACACACACATACATACAGACACACACACACACACAAGACACATACATATACAAACAGACAGGAACACATACATACAGACAGATAGACAGAAACATACAGGCAGACAGACAGACAGACAGACACATACACCAACACAAGACATACATACAAAGACACATAAATACAAACAGACAGATAGACACAGACACATACATACAAACACACACACACACACATAATATTTAAGTCACCCTCCTGTTTCCTACCTTTTAAGTGCAGGAGGGTGACTTTCTCTGGGGTCCAGTGGTGGCTCAGGTTGATGGGAGTCAGAGTTCCCACTCTGACTCCCTCTGCTTAATCCCGCGCGGACTCTCAGTGATAGCTGGGAGGAGTAGCTGGGAGGAGTGACGGGGAGTCATTGTGACGAAGTGCCCCCTGCCACTTGTGTCTGGAGAGGACTAATTACCAGCCTCTTGCCTTGTGACTATGGCCACTGGGAGAGTTTGCCCTTTAAAAACGTTATTTGGGCATATTGGATGTTATTGCACTGTTTCTGCCCCTTTGATTCAATGGAAGAATGTGCCTCTTCCCCTCCCCCTTTTTCCTGTCCCATTGTTCTCCAACAGGGCGTTGTCCCGGGGACACTGCCAGACCAGTTAGCCCTTGCTATTGTTTAACCCTATGGCGATCCACTGCATTTGTGAGATCTGAGCACTTTTCGGACATATTGAGCACTCAGATCCAAGCTATCTGGGGATATGTTGGACGTATAGGTTAAACATTGTATTATATAAGTTATGTATTTTTATGTAGTTTTTGAAACAGTTTTTGGACTTGGATATTTTCTGTACCTGGAGAAAATTGGCTAACCACACCCACTTAAGCCAATTATCTCCAGGATAGAGGAGAAGATAGACCGGCTGCACAGCCTAAATCTGTGGAACTGTTTTGGGCATGAAAGCCATGCTTGCCGTCGGTCAAATAGAACTTCCATCTATCTTTTGAACCTCTGGACCAAATTGTATGATTTTTGAATATGTTTGTATACCGATTATGCTGGTTCAGAATATGTAACTTTTATGGAAACTGTATGTATAGTTTTGAAGTTATGAATATTGGGTAAAACTGTATATTTTCCTGCCTGTGATAATTAAGTTAGCCTATTGTGTTTAGTAATTCTATCACAGGCAGAGGGGAGGGTTTGTGTGCCTTGGCTGGGAGTGTCTTACTGTACTGCAATGTGTTTGATTGGTTGCTGTCAGGGCCGTCTTTAATAACGAATGGACCCTGGGCAAGTGTTTGCTTGGGCCCCCTGTGCCCTACCGCTCTCTCCCCTCACTCCCTGGTATGCAATCACGGCATCCATCCCAACGCAGTGGCGGTACTAAAGTAGAATGAATTTTATTGGGACCCCCAATTGCAAGGTTGGACTAAAGGTAGAACCCCATCTGTCGTGCAACTCCAACAATGCTTTGACAGCTGGGACTCTACCAATTTCCCATGCTTGCAGGGTTGTATTTAGCACTGAGCCATGTTAGTATGTTTGAATGTAAGCATGTGTTTGTATGGAGTATGTTTGTGTGAATGTGTTTGTATGTGGTACTGGAGTTTGAATGCAAGTGTGCATTTATGTGTAGTGTTTGTTTTTGAATGTAGGAGTGTGCTTGTATGTAGTGTTGACGTTTCAATGCAGGAGTGTGTTTTATATGTAGTGTTGAAGTTTGAATGGAGGGGTGTATTTGTATTTAAAGTTGCGGCTCAGATGCACAGGTACACACTCTGACGCACAAGCAGATACACAGATACATACACTGACTACATACAGATAAACAGGCACATACACTGACAGACACACTGACACAGGTACCTATATTGACACACACACAGACACATACACTGGTAGACGTACTGACAGACATACTGACACAGGCACATATACAGAGATACTGACACAGAGACACATATACCGACATACTGACACACACACACAGACACATACACTGATCAACATACTGACACACATACACTAACAGAAATACTGACACCCACACACTGACAGATATACTGACACCCACATACACTGAGAAATACTGACACACACACACAGGCACATACACTGACACACACAGACTGATATACTGACACACACACACAGACATACTGGCACACAGACAGATATACTGACACATGCATACACATGCACTAACAGACATACTGACGCACTGACAGACATACTGACACATACACATACTGACACACACACATATATACTGACACACAGACAGACAGACATACTGACACACACACAGACATACTGACACACACACACAGACATGCTGACACACACACACACACACACTAACACACACATACACTAACACACAAACACACACACTAACACACATACACAACACACACCAACACACACACACACTAACACACATACACTAACACACATACACTAACACACATACACTAACACACATACACACACACTAACACACATACACTAACACACACAAACACACACATACATACACTAACACACAAACACTAACACACAAACACTAACACACACATACACACACACACACACACAAACACACACATACACAAACACATACACTAACACACACATACACACAAACACACATTTAAAAAAAAAAATGTAATCCCCCCAGCCTCCTTACCTTTTGGAGTGGTGGGGGGATTTCCTGGGGTCCAGTGGTGCTGCTGACCCCCTGCAGGCGCCGTGTAGGGATGCCGGCGCCGGAAGATGATGTCATCTTCCGGCTCCGGCATCAGTGCGGTGCGCGAGGGAGCTGAAGAGGAAGCAGTGAGTGCTCCCTCGCGCGCCTGCCTGTGTGCCCGCCCGACCGGCCACTCGCCTGCAGGGGGTCAGCTGGGCCCACGGGGCAGGTGCCTCGGGCCCCCCAAGAGAAACTGGGCCCGGGGCAGCTGCCCCGTTTTCCCCGCGTTAAAGACGGCCCTGGTTGCTGTAACTCTGAGTCCTGTATACCACAAGGTTCACGTGGGTGGTAACCTTGTGGGAAAAGATATATATAAGAGCAATAATGCCTCAGTGCATTCTTTTCCTGTTTGACCCTAAACATGTAGTCTTGTCTCGTGATTGGAGGGGAACTGCTATATTCACACTGGGGATTGCTATACCTTGTATACTCCCCTGAGCTTTAATCACTTAGCTCTTTTAAAGGAACACTATAGGGTCAGGAACACAAACATGGATTCTTGACCCAATAGTGTTAACACCACCATCTATCCCCCCTGGGCCCCTCATGCCTCCATAAATACAGTAAAAATCTTACTGTATTCAAGCCAG